ATTGATTATGGAATGTTTTATTTTAACATGATAAATAAAATATTTTAAGACAAGGTGTTCAAATATTTTCCAAATAATTTCAGATTGATCTAATTTCTGTGCACTGAGGACAAGCAAGCTGTAGGTTACAAACTGAACTCTCCAATGCAAGATGCATTTCTTCCTTTAGGAGGTGCTATTGTCAGAAGAAAATAAAAAGGTTTCAGTTTTGTTTTTGCATGTGGGTGGGTATTCTGTTTGTAATAATTGTTTGGATACACTATATTTTTAATATGCTAGTTGTGATAATTTCATGCCAAGTAAAAATGTCCATAGTCATATTTTATGTTCCTAAAGTAACAGAATGACTTTCAATCTAGAAAAGACAAAAGAAATACTAATGTCGCATTTTTTTCAATTTTTCCGAAAATTTCCATTTTTCCGAGCTTCAAAATTTCTGGAAATTTTACATCTCTAGACTCGAGGGAGCCTGGTCACCAAAGTTGTGGCGGGGGGATTCCAAAACACGCAGCCTGTCCGTCACTGGACTGCAGGAGAATTCCTCTCCGCCAGCCCCGCTCGCTCTGTTCTCTCTGCCCAGGTTCACACATCGGTAGCCCTTCATAAGGAAACACATGGCCTCTCTCTGATAGTTAGGGTTGCCAACTTCCAGGTGGTGGATGGAGATCTCCTGCTATAAGAACTGATCTCCATGTGCCTCTATCACCTGGTGACACCTTTTGTGGAACTTGCCAAGTGTTTTAAGAAAGTGGGTGCATCCGGGAGAGGCTCCTGTCCAGCAGGGCTTCTGATTGGCCACTGGGGATGTGATTGGCTGTTCAGATTAAAATGACATTGTTTCGGCGGCGGCTGCCACCACAGTATTTTGTTCTCTCTTACTCCTCTTTCCTGATGTTTTTTTCTTTTTTTAAATGACTCCTCTTGTCCCCAGCACCTGGGCCTCCTGAGTGTATGTACGTGTGGTCCCACCTCTCGTGGTGGCCATTTTGTCATTGGATCCGCTTCCCTTGGCGGCCATTTTGTGCTTGCATCCCGCCACACACCATGTCAGAATTCCAAACACACCCACAGGCTCGAAAAGGTTGGGGATCCCTGGGATGAACAGAATATAAATTGTCAAAGGGGACAGATTTTAATTTTGACCTTGGATGATTTTCATGAGGGCTTTTTTGCACGCGATGGGGTGAGAGTTCTCTGAACAGGGAAACAGATCCTTAAAGATCTGATGTGTTTAAATGTCTTTCTCCAGGATAGTTGCCTCAGCCCCCATCCATGGCCTTTGAGACGATCCGGAGGGGCCGTAGAAAGCTCATCACCTTCCTCCAAAGAGCACCTGATCTCATCTTGGATGATACAGCCGCCCAGGGCTTTGTTTCCGAGGCTGATTATGAAGCTTTGGATAAGCTTCTGGACCCTTGGGAGAAGATGCGCAAGCTCTTGGTCAAGGTCCAGATCAAGGGGGAACAGACGTGCCATCAGTTCCTAGAAGGCATCAGGAGCCTCTTTCCAGACCTGCCTCCAGATCTGTGGCCTCCAGGAGCCGGTGAGTGTGGGATGTGTGGTTCCACAGTCTGCAGCTCAGTTCTCTAGATATGATTTATGGTAGCCTTCTACATATGACCTGTCTTGAGCTGAATACAGTTGGGGGGCGGGGCTAGACCAGTATGCTCCATCCTGCTCCCATCCCGCTTTGGTCCTGCGTGGTCTGGCAACTGCCATGAGGGTTTGGGTGGGGCAGAGTCCCAGGAGAAAAAATTTAAAAGGGGGAGGGAGAGACCTCATTTACTTATAGGAAGTTTTGACCATAGAGTTCCTGGCCATTCCTAGAGCTACCCGGAAGTGACAAGAGTGGCTCTAGCAATTGCAGTTTCTGGTGACTGGAAGAGCTACCTTTGTCATTTGAACACATGAACACACTCTAGGAATCATCAGGAATTTTGTGCTCAGAACATCCTGTAAGTAGACAGGGCCGTTCCCCTTGGCCCCAGCTTCCCAGTCAGCTGAGCATGGGTGGTCAAGGGCTGCAACTGCCTGTACATCTTGGAACCCTGCTGTACATGGATAGGTCCTGTCAGGGCTCTTTTTGTAAAAAAAGCCCAGCAGGAACTCATTAGCATAATAGTCCACACCCAACAGCAGGAACTCATTAGCCTATTAGGCCACACCCCTGACAGCACAGCTCATTAGCACATTAGGCCGCACCCCCATGTTACCAGAAGTGTGGTCATCCAGCCACACCCACCTTTTGCTTCTTATTCTGCTTACCTTGTTTGTTGTCAAAACCCAGGGCCTTTTTTTGTAGCAGGAACTCCTTTGCATGTTAGGCCACACACCCCTAATGTAGCCAATCCTAATGAGTTTCTGCTGTTGGGTGTGGCCTATTATGCTAATGAGTTCCTGCTGGGCGTGGCCAACTTGGGAGCCAGCCAGAACTCCGTTCCTGTGCGTTCCTGCCCAAAAATAGCCCTGGGTCCTGTGTACAGGGATTGTATCTCTCACAATGGTCCCTGTCTGTGAACGTCTGAATCTTACACCACCTCATAGTAATCCAAATTTTGTCTCAAGACGTGCTGAATTTCAATACAGATGAAGTATGCAAAGGTGCAGGTCTTTTGTTTAATTAGCATACAGTACTGGGGCTTTGATCACTAAAAATACGGCACCCCCGCTCCCACCACCCTGCTTCTAGCTTGGAGGTTTTGCCAAGCATTCCCCACATCCCTGCATTTCCTTAAAAACAAAGAAACAGTAATGGAATTCTGTGCCCAGGGGACCCAGCTGTGCACAAGATCACAGAATGCACACGGCCTAGTAAAGCGCTACTATTATTATTTGTGAATGCAGCACCTAACTTGACTGTCCTTTTCTCCCATCACAAAAAGGCAGCAAGCAAATGGGGCATTTATATCCAGACTCTTCAGCCGTGAGGTCTAGAACCTTGCTTTAAAATAAATAAAGAGACAGCGCCAGCGTGGTATAGCAGTTAAGAGTGTGAGACTGGTGACTGGGAGACCTGGGTTCGAATCCCCACTCCTGCCATGGAAACCCGGGTGACTTTGGGCCAGTCACACTCTCTCAGCCTAACCTACCTCACAGCATTATATTGTGAGGATAAAATGGAGAAGAGGAGAATGATGTAAGCCCTTTTGGGTCCCCATTGAGGAGAAAGGCAGGGTATAAATGAATTAAACAAAGAAATAAAAGCAGGGTATTCCCAGTAGTCATGTATGGCTGCGAGAGTTGGACTATAAGGAAGGCCAAGTGCCGAAGAATAGATTCTTTTGAACTATGCTGCTGGAGAAGACTCTTGAGAGTCCCTTGGACTGCCAGAAGATCCAATCAGTCAATCCTAAAAGAAACCAACCCTGACTGTTCCCTGGAAGGCCAGATAATGAAACTGAAGCTCAAATACTTTGGCTACCAAATGAGAAGGGAGCACTCACTGGAGAAGACCCTGATGCTGGGAAAGATTGAAGGTCAAAGAAGACGGGGACGGCAAAGGATGAGATGGTTAGACAGTGTCATAGATGCAACGAACATGAAATTGAGCCAACTTCAGAGGACAGCAGAAGACAGGAGGGCCTGGCGTGATGTGGTCCATGGGGTCGCGAAGAGTCGGACTCGACTGTGCGACTGAACAACAAAAATGTTTCCTCCTAGGGGGATAATGAATTCTGCCTTTGGGTCAGGAGGGAATAGATGATAGAAAAATTAATAGTGTTTGGTTTGTACAGGTGCCACCAATGTCCATAGTTCTTTACAGAGTAATGTGAGTGAATGAGGCATATCTCTGCCCCAAGGAGCTTGTGCAGTATAAACTCTGGCAGTGAGGGAGAGAACTGATAGGGGGACAGACTGGGTGTGTGTGTGCAGGTAACACGGAATGGATGTGAACAATTGCATTTATGCAGACATGGGCTTTAACACGCTAAGGGGGTACCTGAAAAGCAAAGAGGATATGACCTCTTCTGCATCTGTCAAATTGACCCCTGGAGGAACCCTGTTAATTTTGAGCAATACTTGCATTTCTGGTTCGTACTGACGCAATTTGGGTGATTTTTTCTTCTTCTCCGTGTGAGGTTTCACCACACTTAATAATGAACTTTGGGCCCAATCTGTCACTTTTTCTTTTTCTTTTTTTGCCTAATACCAGTGTTTGGTTTTTCTCCTTCGCCGTCTTATTTTCAGCTTTCTGTCATTGGCTTTGGACCCACTCAGAGGTCAGCAACAGGATATGACACTTCCTTCGTTGCAACTTTATTATCAGAAATTCAGGTCAATAATGGGGAACTTGCTGGCTAAGGACCTCCTCCATCTTTCCCTTTCCCTTTTGACATCTGGTTTTTTTAAAAATCCCATTTATGTCCTGCTTTTCTCCTCTTGTGGAATTCAAGACAGCTTTGATGAGATTCCTGAGAGGGCTTCCCATACAGGCACTGGAACCAGCCTTCAGGGAGGGAAACGGGGGGGTGGGGGGGATTGCTTCCATAAGACACCCTAAATATAAGCATTTATTATAACTTAAATATAGTTGAACAACGTCTTCAGCAACCACACCACACTGAAGAAGTATGCATGCACATGAAAGATCCTACCTTGAATAAAACTTTGTTGGTCTTAAAGGTGCTCCCACTGGACTAAAGCTTTGCTCTGCTGCTTCAGACCAATGCGGCTGCCCCACCTGAATTAAACATAGTTGTTGATTATACTTGCAACTACTGGTGCCAGTAGCTTAGCTCAGGTGGTGGCTGGAGACTCCCTGGGATTTCAACTGATCTCCAGGTGTTAAGAGATCAGTTCCCTGGAGAAAATGACCACTTCGGAAGGTGGACTCTATGGCAATGCAGAATTACAAAAACCGTTCTTTCCCTGTTCAGGATTTACCTTGCACTCACATATAACAGTTTTCTTGGCACATACGGAATGTTGTGTGAACATCTGTATGTGGGAGTGGAATGTCTTTCCTCATGCATAGGCAGGCAGCATATGCAAGATCACTTACCCACAAAAAGCCAGCGTATATGTTAAGGCATGGGGCTTCTGCTGTGTAGAAAGCCATAGCGTGAATGCATTAAGTGCAATCTCACGCCACTCAGCAGTATTGCTCTATGGTCTTCCAACCATCGGTGTAAGAGGCAAGATGGGCTGCAAGAGGAACTTTGACCATTCATGCCAAGCGATGCGCAATGACCTCCACATCATAGTCTACACTAGGGATGGTCACAAACCAGGAAAATGGTGGTCCGTGGTTCATTTGATTGCATGAAGCACAAACTTACACTAACTTTTCCATTTCCCAAACTGGTTCATGGTTTGTTTGGTTTGGGGTAGAACAGCCCCCTCATGAAGTAGAGATGCCAAACTCACAGGGAGTCTTCAGCAGGCTCTCCTCCACCTGCCCTCCAAGTTTGGCAAAGATTGGATTTGGGATGTCAGGGTTATAACCGCCCAAAGCAGGTGCCCCCAGGAAAGCTCAGCTCTAGCTTCAGGTTCGGTCTCTGAAACTACAGCAAGGAACAGGGAGTCTTCAGCAGGCTCTCCTCCACCTGCCCTCCAAGTTTGGCAAAGATTGGATTTGGGATGTCAGGGTTATAACCGCCCAAAGCAGGTGCCCCCAGGAAAGCTCAGCTCTAGCTTCAGGTTCGGTCTCTGAAACTACAGCAAGGAACAGCTTCCCAGCTGGGAGAGGTGTTTAAAAAATTGTCCCACTGTGTGGGTGGAAAAGGAGTCCCTCAAAGCCTCCGCTAAATCAGCCACACAACAAAGAGTTCTTCTTTTGCTCCCACCACAACTAACTCTTCTCTCTTTGGGCTGCAAAGTGAAAGCAGCTGAGTCAGGGTGTGGTATTATACTGGTATATAATCTGCTCCCATAGAGCAGAATGGAAGCTCCGTGGTTGGCTCCCAGAGCTGCCAATCGAACTATTGGACTATTGCTTTGGGTGTTTCTAGGGCTCTCCACAAGTCCACCCCCAGTGTTGCCTAGGAATTGATTGAATCAACGCTAGGCTGTCTGGAGAGCAAACTGCAAAAACGAACCACCCAAACCTCCATGGAAAAAAGGTGGTTCGTTTTTGGGTTCAGGAATGACGTGACTAAATGAACCAGTTCAAAACGAACCGCGAACCGGCTCGGTTCATGCTTGAGCTGTGGTTTGTTTTTCGGCGTGTGCCCATCCCTAGTCCACACACTGAAGCTCATGTGCTGAATGCTTCCCCTTTTTGTTGTCGAGAATATATTGTGGTATGTCCCGTGGAGGGTGGGCGTGGGAAAGAATATATAAAAAGTAATTTTGCTTTTGAGGCATCCAGAGTTCTGCGTCAGCTATTCAGGAAGCTAGCCAGTTCCCCCTGGAGACACAGCCTAGACCTTGTACCAAACATGGTTGCCCAAGGAGTATGGATGAAATAAAACTCTTCATCAACTTGTGGGAATCCATCTGCTGATGTTTAAAAGGCGCTCAGTATTTCCACCACTTCTCCAGCTTCATGTGGCTGGCAGAGAGGCTGACTGAGCAGTGCTGGGACTGGGCCAAGGAGATGAA